TTCTGTCTTTCTGTGTCCCTGGTTAGCACACACACCATCTGGCAATTAAAAAATACATATACAAAGTCCTATTATTAGACAACACTAAATGTATTTATTTACTCATATAAAACCTATAACTTTTTACCTAATCTTATGACAGGAACCTGTGTTGTGTATTTAGCAAATATAGCGGGACTTCAAAAAGTTTGTGGAAAGGACCAGCAGGTGGTGTGATGGGCAAGGCACTGGATTCCCAAATGGCTGACTGCGGTTCAAGTCCCGGACCTGGTGACTTGCTTTCTCACTCTCTCTCTCTCACTCTCTCTTTCTCTCTCTGGTGAGTACCTGTGCCCTGTAGCAAATTTTTAAAATAATGATGATAAATAAAAATCAAGTAAGATAATTTATGTTGTGCCAAAAAAATTTAAATCCATAGTTTTTCATAATATGCATTTTCCATGAACTTTGTAAAGCCCACCCCCCATATGTGAATTGAAATGTAACAATTAATTAGCAATAAGAGTATAAATTTTCTCTGAAAACCTTTCTGGAAAAAAACAGTTAGATTCAAACACCTAATAGCTCTTTGAGACTGAGAAGATAGCAAGTACATGTGGGGAAACTCCCCTGGGTTTGTCTTTGCACTTCTACTGGGTTGTGTAGAAGTACAGTTTTTGTTTTTGTTTTGTCAAGTCTGGGACTCGAACTGCAGTCGTCCACGTGGGAGTCCAACATCTTAACCACTACACCACCCACTGGCCCTATAAGTACAGTTTTAGATGCACTGTCAATGTGCAGAATGTCTCCCAGGAATGTTGGTGATTAGTCTACGACTAGATTCTAAATTGGAAGTATTTCGACACTTTGCAGTGATTTAATGTAGCGATGGCATCAAAATTGATGCTCACTTTGCTAGTAACTGGTGGTACTGTATGTGTGTATCTCAAAAACTTTGTGGAAAATGGAATTAAAGTACAAGTTTATTTTAGTGCAGAAACTCCTGACATCCATTTATTGTCGTTCGTAATACATGTTTCCTATGAACTCTCTGAAGACCTCTCGTATTTTATAAAACTACTGGTCTGTGATGGATTGGCTGTTTTGTCCCCATGGCCCTTCATGGCAGAATTTAGGAATGCATGTTAGGGCCAGCTCCACAGCACGATGGTCGAGTGCTTGTTTATAGGGATCTGGACCCACGTGGCCCACCGCAGTTCAAGTCCCAGCCCCGTGGCTTAGAAAACACTCTGGTTGCATGTGTGTGCATGCCCAAATTCTGGCAGAGAAGTGGAGGAAAAGATTTCTGCATGACTACACCCCATTAGGAGATACTCTCTCTCTCTCTCTCTCTCTCTCTCTCTGTCTCTGTCTCTCTGGAAAATGCATACACTCTCTGATGATGGGTATAAAAAAAATATGTATTTAAAAATTCAGATTCCTGAACTCCAACACAAACCAGTAGACCCCAAATTTGTGCAAATGGGGATAGTTTCCAGGAATCTGCATTTCAACTAGCTGCCTGGTCTCTCTTTTCCATGATCAAGTTTGAGAACTGCTTTAGAGGCCAGGCCGATTGCATGACTAATGTATGGAGGGACCTCAAAATGTTTGAGGGGAAAAAAATGAGGTTAGATTTGAGTTTATTTTGCTGCAAAAAAAATGTGAAATCCATATATAGTTTTTAGACAATACTCATTTTCATGAACTCTTTGAAGACCCCCATGTATAATCCTGGCTTCTGAAAGCCATCCAGGTTAAGAACCAGAGCTGAGAAGGTTAAACTCGCACACAACTGACTTTCCCCCATGGCTGCAGTGTGTCCCTGGCTCATGGAAATGCCCACAGAACAGACCTGTGCTTTCTGGGTAGAGATCCACCGCTAGTTTGTAAGATGCCCTGAGCAAGAGACGCCCTCGAGTCCGCCGCCCTGCCCTGTGCAGGAACACGGTGTAATAGATTCATCCGGGGGCCCCAGATGTGAAGAGCACCCCGTAGCAGGGGCTCCTGGTGCACCACCAGCCCAGGCTCCCATGCCCAGGTGAGGAGGCGCAGCCCACGCTGGGCACGTTGCAGGCTCTCACTCCACGGTCCTGGGGGAGACACCATGAACCACTTCAGCTCAAGACACCGGCCCGGGAAACCATCTCCAGAGAACGCAGGTGGGGTTTTCTGAGTATTTGTAGAAAATGCATATTGGGAAAAACCTATGCAAGAATTTTACATTTTCACCAAAACAAACTCCTACTTTAATGTTACTTTTATTTTTTAATTTTTTACAAACTTTTTGAAGTCTCTTCATACATGTCACAGAGTTTCTTGTTTGTTCAGGTTTAAAGTGATCACAAATAAAAGAAGGATTTAATTCTGCCTAAGCAGATGGCTTTTCTTCTTTTTTTTTTTCTTTTTTCTTTTTTTTTTTTTATTTTCTTGCCAGAGAGTGCGTGAGCTCACCAGAGAGAGACTGTGAGAGGAAAAGTGAGAAATCACCCCCCAGCAAGGATGGCCACGCCGAAAAATCTCTTCTCTTCCATTCTCTTCTCAGGATTTTGGCCATGCACACGCACGTATTTTGTGTGGTTTGTAGGCCGCCAGGCCTGAGCTGGGACTCAAACTGTGGTCAGCCATGTGGGAGTCCAGTGTCTTGAACATCATGCTACCTGTTGGTCCCGGCTTTTCTTATTTATCATGTTAATTCTTTGTAGATGATAATTGCTCAGAAGAGGAGGAGGATTTCATCACCTGTGTGGCTGGAGCTGCCTGGAGGCAGCTCTCTTGGCTCCACTGGAATCATAGTGGCTTCAAGCCAGCCAAGGAAGGGGCTGCTGCTGGGTAATAGGTCATCGGAGGAGAAGGGAGGCAGCTGGTAGACCTGGGAGGACGAGGAGAGGAACTGGGTCCAGCCTGTAGCCTAGTAGTTAAGAGAACCAGGTCCCACATGGCCAACTACAGTTTGCATCCCAGCCCTGGCAGCTTGACAAACATTGCAGGTGCATGTGCATGCATGCCCAGAATCCTGACAGGATGCAGAAATGGAGGAGATGGCATTGCAGCCTGACCACCCCCCCCGCTGGGGGGGGCCTTCCTCTCTCTTTCTCTCTTTCCTTCTGGCAAGCACAGGCACCCTCTGGCAGTTTAAAAAGGAAGCAGAGGGGCTGACTGATAGCTTGAAGTGTTGACATCAGTCTTGAGAACAGAGGTCTACACTGTGGACTTAAGCGCTTACCCTCCTCTGTGTGAGGAGGGCGTCTGCTCTCGGGCACTGCGCTGTCTCGGGCTGTGGTCTAAACTGAGGGCCGCTGCTGTACCTGGGGCGGTCCTCCTTGTCCCTCCACCCCTGTGGCCAGGCAGCTGCTCGGCGTCAGGCTTCATGTCTTCTGGGCAGGCTTTCAGGTCTCCAGGCAGAATCACACCCCTGTCTCCTCTCCCCCTGGGTCCATCGTCCAGGATGTCTCGTGTGGGTTTCTGTGATGCAAACGCAGTTGGTTCATTGGGGACTGTAACTGTCCTCTGGAGACACAGGAACTGTGTGGCTTTACGGTTTTGACGTAACAAGGGATATCACTTTCAGAAAAGGGATAAACTTCTCTTTCTCTTAAACAATTTCAATTTAACAATGCTGCTTGTGGTTCTGTGGAAAAGAAAAAAAGAAAGTCCGGGTTAATAATTAGATGGTGGCACGGCCTCTGTGACGCACTCAGTGGTGTGCCGGACTGCAGCGTGGAAGCCACGTGGCGGACTGCTGTTCAGATCCCTCGCCTCATTGTGAAACCTGCAGGTGTGCATGTGCGTGCCCAAGACCCTAACCAGCTGGAGGGCTAGGGCAGGGGACCAGGGCATGACAAAGTCTTATTGCGGATGCCCCCCCGTCCTGCCTCTGCCTCCCTCTCTGTGGCCCACACAAATGGACAACGATGAATTTTTTTAAAAATGAATTCAGTTTGCTCAGTGATGATTCTGTGTTGAAGTTACCTATTTGAAACACGAAGAAAACACTTTAATACTGACTTCTAGTGAGAAAAATCATGTTGTTATTCTAATACCAATCTTTTTTTTTAAGAATTATTTAATTTTATTTGATATTATTATTTATTTATTTTCATTTGGCCAGACAGATTCAGAGAGAGAGAGAGAGAGAAAGTGAGAAAGCAAGTCAACAGGTCTGGGACTTGAACTGTGGTTAGCAAGGTGGGAGTCCAGCACCTTAACCACTACTCCACCTGCCGGCCCCCTAATACCAGTCTTCAATGCTGCGTGTCTCTCACTCTGTTTCTTTCCATTTAAACAGCTATTTTATAGCAGCTATGTTGTTGTATGGTTCTGTTTTACGACTTCCCAAACAACTGTCCTCTGGTCAGATTACAATCAGGTGACTCTTTTATAATCAGTGTTCATAACAGCCGTTTGTTCGGACCATAGCGCTCTAGCGTTTCACGTCAGGCAGGGTGCGCGTCGAATGTGGCCCCTGACGGTCTAACTCAGGGTGCAGATCTGCCCTCATGACGATGTGGTGTCCTTGAGTCCAGTGAACTCGTTTTCCCCTCTCATTCCCAGGCCTACAGTAATCAACTGAACACATGTAGTGTTACATCTTGTTTTTCCTTCTTCCTTGAGGCAGGGTCTTGCCGGGACCACAAATACGTGGCACCACGCCTGGCATTTTCAGACATGGTCTCGCCACGTGGCACAGTCCAGCCTTGAGCTTGGGATTGTCTTGCCTCAGTCTCCTGAGTCACTGGGACTACAGGCACCTCGCCTTTAGGTTGGAGTGGGATCGAACTGGCCCTCTCCTGTGTTCCAGCTTGTGGAGCATGGTGTCTTAACAGCACACACGACCACAGCTGGGCCAGCGTCACACGCTAACATGCTCCACACCCCGGGAACCGCATGCTCACCACTCGGCGGAAGTTACCATGCTGCAGATGGAGAGAGAACGGGAAACCAAAGGCAGGGCCAAGCAGGAAACCTCATCCCTCTCACGTAGAGTTGCTCACGGGGTTCTAATTTTCTGTCCGTGCCAGGAATCCTCATCATGATGTCGCTGTGCAGAGAGGTGCACGTGTACGAGTATATCCCGTCCGTGCGGCAGACGGAGCTGTGCCACTACCACGAGCTGTACTACGACGCGGCCTGCACCCTCGGGGCGTACCACCCCCTGCTCTACGAGAAGCTCCTGGTGCAGCGCCTGAACCTGGGCACCCAGGGGGACTTGCATCGCAAGGGCAAGGTGGTCCTGCCGGGCTTCCAGGCCGTGCGCTGCCCCACGCACAACCCTGCCGTGCCACAGTCTTAGAAAGGAGCCCTGGGAATCAATGTGCAATAAGGTACTACTGCCGTGCGCCAAGTCACAAGAGAATACTTGAAGATAGAGTTTAGCCAATGTAGTTTGGAGTCTTGAAACTGTAATTTAGTGGTGGCCACGAGAGTTCTTTCTAAGCCATCAAGTATTTATTACCACTTTGAATATAGAAACAGAGTTTAAAAAAAAAAAAAAAGCTCAAGAAAGATGTAGAAAGCGGATAGCTGAAAAGGAAACACATGCATAACCATGGGTATGATAATCTCCAAAAAGGTGAACCTCTTCTTTGCCATGGCTACCCATCAGAGTTGGTTTCTACTAAAGGTTTTATTGATACTCCTGGTAACACGGATTGGATTCTGTCTAGAAGCGTGCAGGTTGAGGTGTGGCGTCCACAGCATGTCTGTGTCACTTACTGCACCATCGTTGAACACCCTAGGCTGTACGATGGACGTCCAAACTACCACTCAGGTGTGTTGATTTGAACAGCAAAACCCCCCGTATATCCCATCAGGGGATGTTCACAACCATCAGCGTTTTTGTCTAGTCTTCCAAGTGGTCTTACTTATGGGCATTTTGATTATCTATCAATAAGTAATCTCCTTTGGTAGTATGAGAACTTGGCTGGAGAAAAATGAACTGGGGTCAATCAATCCCATTTCTGACCATTGCATTCTCCTTACCACTTCTCATTGCCCACCAAACACTTTGCTTTCTCAGTCAGGACACATTTCTAAAACCATAAGGCATGCATCTTGAAGGGTCCCAAACAAGCCAGACCCTGTTAGGCCCCTTGTTTCCCTGCAATTTTTCAGCACTGGAGTAGGAGCGTTGCTACCCCACAGACGAGCAGAACTCACCAGCAAGCGGACAGACTCTCGGGGCTGCAGGCCGGCCCTGCTAGTTTTGTTCTCCGGCTCTGGCCCTGTACCTCCTCACCTACAGGGACCCCCTGCCCAACTCTTCCATAGCCGGTGACACACACGGCAGCCCTGTGGAAGAAGGCGGGAGACACTGCCCTCCTTCCAACGTTCAAGGAAGGACTTGCAGGCTGGCGCCCTCCGCGGAGACAGATACATCCAACGTTCAAGGAAGGACTTGCAGGCTGGCATCCTCCACGGAGACAGATACGTACCTATGGTTTGACGCAGACTTCTGGCAGATTTTCATCAACTCTTGGGGACTCAAAAGACTTTTCACTACTTCGTCCTACATACTAACATTCAGAAATCCAGTCTTTTCTTTTCCACAAATACGTGTTATGTCTGTAGCATGACAAAGCCATATAATTAAATAAAATTGTGTAAAAACATTGTTCTTTAACAAGGAAAACACATGGAGGCTTCAGAAGAAAAGGCAGCTGGAGGGAGGTTTGTACCCCAATGTGTTAGCCCTAGGCTTCGGTTTCTGTTTCTGATCACAAAATTTTTGTCACTGATATTATTTTGTGCTTTGGTTTTTCTCTATGAATATAGTCATGCAGACATATTTCGAAATACCTTAATCAGACATGCTGTTATTTCAATACATAACCAAAACATATCCCAGTGGTCCATTAGGACTTTTGGCAGTGACGGTAACAGCTTAATGAAGCACATCCTCCCTTGCAAAGTGTGGATGTCGGGAGAGTTTGGTGGAGAAAGTTTTGTTTGTCTGTCTCAAGATTGTTTTTTCCAGAATGCTCTCGGGACTACTTTCTTGAGCAAGAACGGTTTTCAGGGGCTGACAGCTTCTATGTGCTAGTTTACTGAGAAACCGCGTTGGAAAACAGACATCTGCGCTTATTATCATAGTGACGGGGAAGTGATGGAAAAGCTTCACCCATGATGCTTTCTAATAAAAGCCCACTTAGAGAGTTTGGCTTCTACACCTGTGCAGAGAGGTAGAGAGTCTCGTCCTACATGCTGACTGGCATCTGAGTAGACATGGCCAGGCCACATTTCTTTGGAGTTGCCTAAAGGAGCCTGGCCTTGCCCACATGTTCACATGCGTATAAGCGTTCAGTAGCTCTGGAACATGACCGAGGGAGCGCCGAGGTGGGGTGCCATCCTTAGATCTTTTCTGGATCCTTCCAGGCTTTGCCTTTACATGCCCACAACTATCAAAGTCTTCCAAGTGTTCTTACTCGTGAGCATCCTTACTATCTGGGTCAGTCCTCCTTGGGAGAGAGGAGAGCTTCGTTAGAGGATAATTTATAGACGTCAATCAAAATACAGAGTTCAAAATCTCCAGAAAACAAAGCTTTTTAAGTGGTATTTTGTTGTAACCTGTGTACTTTGGAAAGACTACTCCATTTCACTGAGGTTACAAGAAAGACTGAAGCGCATAAAGGAAGTTTAATTAAAATCTTTGAATTTACTATGGCCTTAAAGACCCTGGGGAGTCAGGGTCTGTTAAACACTCAGAAAATGTGATGCACGTGTTAATGCAGTGTGGGCCGAGCATTCTCCTGCTGAGGGTTTAAATCGTCGGCCTCTCAGACGTGTTACGCACTTCCGGCTAACGTGACGACTGCTTCTGGTGTGACCCAGAGGGGCCCTCGGTGGCCAGGTGTCGCCAGATGTTAGGAAGTGCTGTGTGCCACAGGTACTGCCTCCTGGTACATGCAAGGCCCGTCTGTGCAGTGTGAGCAGTAAGGGGATTCCACCCCGTTTCTTTCCAGCTCTGTCCCTTCCAGAACGCTCCGCTTTCTTTGGTGCATGTAATAGATAAAACCCTCATGTAACCGAAATCCATTCCACTTTTCATTCTTTTTTGGGGGGTGAGGAGAGGATTTTTTTTGCTATAGGGTGCATGCACTCACCTAAAAAGACAGAGAGAGACAGATAGCAAGAAATCACCCCCCAGGGGGGATGGCCACACCGCAATCCCTTCTCCTCCATTCTCTTGGGATCTTGGACATGCACGCACATGCGCCTGGCGTGAGTTTAAGCCACCAGGTCCAGGACTGGAACCACGGTCGACTACGTGGGAGTCCAGCGACATAGCCATTACGCTAACTGCTGGTCCCCCATTTTTCATTCTTAGGATTAACAGATGTACTGGGTTGTATTTCAAGATAATTTCACTCTCTCTTTTGTTGTTGTTGTCACAAAGAAACAAATGGTGACCAAGGTTGACAACTCAACTGCATGTGGATTACCCTAACTCATTTGTCTAGTCAGCGCACCAGGCACAAGGCTAACGTTTGATGGCTGTGGCCTCCTCTCCGTCCCCTGGACTATCAATGCTGACCTTCCCACTACATGCTTATAGGGCTGCTTGCATCAGGAATGC